AACTATCCCAGCATGCACCGCGCGCTTCTTCTTTTACGGGCGAAAATTAAGTCGCCCGTAGTTGACTTGCCGTAGTTGCTAGACCTGTTGTGGCTCAATACTGGTCCATATATAAGGCACAACGGATTAAAAGGCGCACTGTCGGCTTTTGAGGAAATTGAAGGTTTTTAGGTGCACCTTATAGTGCGGAAAATACGGTACCTGTTTCAACGTCCGACTGACTTGCTGTGTGCCCACCAGGTGATCCGTCAGGGACGCGGCGAGATCGTCCCGTGGCGGCAGCCGTCAGAGAAGTTTGATGTTGATGCCAGGAACTACCTGCCCTGTCCTCTCTGCCTCGGCTTCTTCCTCCGAGCTGACCTCTGGAGACACCAAGTGTCCTGTCGGAAAAAGCTTGCCATTGATCCGTCCAAAGGCCCTGGCCCCTCAGTGGAGACCTCCTCTGACGAGGCATTTCCTTCTTTAGAGTCCATAGGTGAACTTACCTTAGATCCAGCTGAGAAAGCGCCTGCTGAGGGCTCGAATCAGAGCTCTGAGCACGAGAAGAGTCAGATCCTGACTTCTGAGCCCAGTGTAAATCAGAACCAGAACTCGGCACAGAACCTCCCTAAGAGGAGGACCAGAGTTCAGGCTGCAGCATCCCGCCTGCTGCCGATCTCTAGCAGTGCGTCAGAGGGCGTCAGTGAGATCCTGCACCGCATGAACCAGGACAACGTCTCTTATGAGGTCTGTACACCTTCACCTTCTAATGTTTACTGGTCTCTGACTCTGTCCACTCTCTAACCCCTCCCTCTGTGTCTTCCCAGGTGAAGTCTGATTGGCTGATTTGTAAGTACGGCAACAAGCTGCTGGAGAACCAGGACGGCAACCAGCGGAGCTATGAGTATGTCAGCCAGAAGCTCCGGGAACTCGGTCGCCTGCTGCTGGCCGCTAAGTCTCTGGACTCTGAGGTCCAGACCCTGCAGGACCTGCTGGCACCGGGTCAGCTCAGCCTGGCACTCTCTGCTGCCAGGAAGGCTGCAGGCTACCGGTGGAGCCGGCCCCCGCTGTCGGTGAAGACCACCCTGAAGACCGTCTGCGACATTGCCATTGGAGAAAGTCTTTTGGATGGAGACTGGGAGGCCGCAGCCAGAACCACCGACTTCTACCACCTGCTGGGGAGTGAGTGGGACAACCTGGGCCTCCAAAACCCTGATCCAGAACCGGGTAAGAACTGAGTCCACCTCAAACAGGTATCTATCGGAAGTACTTTATCACACATTACAGTTTTGATTCTGCAGCTGCAGCAGATGGAGGAACCAAACCCAAGAAACGAACGGGCCTGACCAGAATCAACAAAGACCCGAGAGCTGATGGTGAGTTCTGACCCAGTCTGATGGAAGCTACTGATCACAAACCAAGAGACATTTTCCAGCAGGACCTCCTCTACATTTTTAGGTTTTTCTCCTCTAATGACACCATCCATCCACCAGATGGTGCTGTTTTCATCCTAGTCTGTGTCCCTGCAGTTCTGTCCAGATTTGGGTCCAGTCCTGAGGTTCCCTTGGTTCCTCCAGAGTCCAGACTACAGAACCCAGGTGGGTCATAAGTCCATCATAACCTCTGTAGGTCCATCTTGTCTCTGGTCTTTAAAGGTGTCCTCTGTCCTTCAGTTCCTTTCTGCCCCAGGAAGGCCCAGCGCCGGCCCTGGTCTTCTGCGGAGAAGGACGCCATCTGGAGACAGTTAGGGGACCATGTTCTGCTCCAGACAGTACCGGGCAAGGAGGTCTGTCAGCGTTGTTTGGATCTGGAACCAGTCCTCAAGGGGAGACACTGGAAGGACGTTAAGAACCAGATCCACAACCAGATCCAGAGCCAGAAGAAGCAGCAGTTCCACGCTCAGATGAACCAGGAGGAAAATCAACAAATCCAAGCACAGAACCAGAACCAAAAGAAGCAGAACCCCCAGTCTGATCAACCACAACATAACCAGCAGAAGCAGCCACATCAGTCCCAGGTGGAACAGGTCTGTCAGAACTCTCAGTACCAGAAGAGCCCACAATACATGGTCCCGATGAATCACCAAGCCCACGATAGCGTCCGGAACCAGAAGAAGAAGCTGGACCAGCAGAACCAGGTGTACCCCCCTAAGAAGCAACTCTTCCAGACCCGATTGGACCAGCAGAACCCCTGTGAGGTCCACAAGAAGCAGCTGTACCAAATGGACCATCAGAACCAGCAGCTGGAGACCCGGGACACATCCGTGTTGCCGGTTCCACCTTACGATCCGGACGGACCGCTCCGAGCTCACGGACACTCTCTGTTGGACCGGGAACCTCCAATCGCTCCGTATCCGGTTCTGATCCGGACCCCTGGGCCCCACATGGAACCTCTATTGACCAGAAACGACTGGACCGAGGAGGCGTTGGTTCAGAACTACCAGATGAACCGACCGATGGGCCAGAACCTCCTGCAGCACATCCCTGCAGGAGGAGCACCATCGGACCCGCACTCTGGACGGGTCCACTTCTGATGGACGGGTCCAAAGGTGCCACGTCTGTCTGTTATATCTCTGTCGGAACCAGAACCAGATCAACTGCCTTAAATTATCGAGATGGGAAGTTTATGATTTTCTGCTAAAGTTCTGGTGTTTGTGCTGAACTGGACCAACCTGTAGCATTGACAGTGTTGGGTTGGTTGATTTGTTGACTGGTTTCTGAACCCGATCCAGATTAAGATCACATCCTGCAATCAGAGGTTCTGTGAGTCGTCTTGTGCCAGAAATGGACCTGAGCTCAGATGGAGAACTTTAAGGTCCAGAGACCAAGCAAGAAAAAGCTGAAACTTTTTCTGCCTGGCCCTGGAGTTTGGACCAAAGCTCCTCAGTGAAACCCATACTTGTTCCTCAGCTACTGTTTCCAGATCTCTCCTCAGATTTTCTGTAGAACCCAACCTTCCTGTGGTTCCTTTAGAACCCTTCCTCAGGCTGAACCCATCCCTGAAATCTTAACTCATGGAAATGTTCTGGTTGGTCCAAAAGTCATCATTCTGACAGAGATCCAGAGCCCAAATGAATCATAGCAGAACAATACTGATTTAATCTGGTGGTTCCTCTTGGATCCGTTCCAGTTGTTTCACCCAAGTATATCCAGGGTTCTTCTGGGCTCCTGGACCGGGCTGATGGTTGGCTTCTAGATATGGGCCAATGGGGTCCAGTGCCCCTGTAGAACTGGTCCTGTCACCCGTTATGGTCCTAAACCTTGTCCAGTTGGTCGTTTGGACCAGTTTCATTTTTTACCTTTATTTTTTTATTTGAACATTGAATTAGAAATGAAGGTGTTGCTCTTTTGGCTTCAGTGATTAAATATCCCTGTTTTGTTCTCCTTCTTTCTGTGCAGCCATGAAAGCTGTGATCCCACCCGGCCCGGTTCAGTTGCCTTTATGTTTCAGGTGGTTCTGGTTTCAATGTGAGCCAGTTACCTTGTACCAGGAGAAGTTGGTTCTGATGCACCATACATCTGAAATAAAGTTGCTCCTAAAATCATCAGATGGACCTATCTGATTCTTCATCTGGTCTCTGGTTGTTCAGGCATGATGAAGTTCCAATAGACCTTCGAGGTTCTGTTCCAGATTTTGCTCTGAGTTCTGTTTCAGGTTCTGCTCCTAGTTTCATGATGTTTAACCTCTCAGCAACACCACTCAGAGTGGTTCTTCTGGGTTCTCCCTGCCAGAGGTTCTGACTGGTCCAGGATCCGTGAAGACGTTCTCACAGAGCTGACCTCAGTCACCATGGTAACAGAGACACCATACTGCACAGATTTCATGATCAATTCTGTGAAAAGCTGACTCAATCAGAAGGAGCCATGTTTGCAGGACTCTGGAGTCGCCAGCAGGGGTCGCTCCATGATGAACGATTGGCCAATCAGATGATCGTCATTAAGGGAGAGTCCAGACTACTCTGGACTCTCCCTTAATGACGATAGTCATTATTGGGACATTTGGGACATAAGAACTGTTAAATCTAGAGGATCAAAATTGTTCAACTTTTTTGCTCGTTGTTTTCCTCTAGTCTCCCGAATCCAGAGTTCCACATGTACGCAGTGGAAACCACACAGAGAACAACCAGTCGCCATTCAACTTCAGACATATCTAGGGTTGTATTCAGACAATTAAATGCATAGAAAAAACAGATCAGCATCACACCCAAACCATCAAGAAGTCCAAACCATAAAACAGACATTAATTACCTGAAAAAAGTAGAAAAATGAACAAAATGCAAAAATAGGAGAAAAACAAAGGTCCCTTTGGGAATCGCTCGTGCGGCCGCAAAACGAAGCGATTCGCCTTGCTGCTGTGACTTTTCTTAAGAAGTGTCTTCCTAATTTTAATATATGCATTGAAGGTGTGTCCTCTCCTGAACTTCTAAGAAGTTTCAAAAGACTTGGATAGGATGGGACACCTATTCAAAACCAAAGAGAAAGAAAAAGAGAGGGCAAAGGTCACTCAAAACAGGATGTTTCCAGTTACATCTGGAGCCTCTCCCAGTTCCTCCCTTTCTATACATTTGAACAAAGACCCTGGTTGCCAGAAACAGATTTATTTTTCACCTAGACCTTTGGTCGTTTTCCTGCCTGAGCGATTCCATAATATCCCAAATACTAGTTTTGCTTTCTGACCTCAGAAAACATCAAAGAATTTGACCTGGTAGTAAACAGAAGAAGTTATCTCTCCCATCCTTTAGTTTTTGTGAACTGCCGAGCACAGCACATCTGTTTCCTGTGATAGAAGACGTTCTATAGTGAAGGTCCTTTTTCAAAACTGTTTGTGATTTTATGTAAGTTAAGAAAATCAGTCGTTATTTTAAAATGAATCATTATCCAAATCTGCCTAAATTAAAATCTACTCAAAATATTCATGCTCTAATATTTCACATGCACCAAGGTTGTTAAAACTAATATAATCAAACTTATGTCCCCAACTACATATAGTTAAGTTTAAAAAACAGCATATTTTACATTTATTTTCCTAACATTCCCTCTTTTAATGTCTTCTAAGAGATTACACTCTAAAATATAAAGTTAAAACATGATTTGAAAAAGTATAACCCTAAATTCTGAAACACCATTTTATAGCTGAAATATTAAGCCTCCCTTTTTAGTATGCAACCTTCTAAATAACAGTACTTTTGTAAATGTTGGCATATTCACTGTAAAATAAATCAGACACCACATCATTTAAGGATAGAGATTGAAAATAAATGTACAAAATTGCCTGGCCCAGAGTCGTATCTTATCAGAAAATAATGATTTGAAATGCATAAATGTATCAATCCCTTAATGTTGTTATACTTCAAATGATTTTTTTCCTAAAGATTAAAGTTCAATCAAATATTCCCGATGTAAGAAGTGGGATGATACATAAATATTTTTCTTTGAAATCCCTTGTAGTGAATTCAGTTGATGTAATAAAAGACAAACCCATTTTAACTTAAACCAAAAGCTGTAAATTATGAGAAATGTTTAGACATTATTACCTTGGATCAACAATTACACATAAAACTTCATCTCAAAGAAATTATATCTTAAACCTCCAGTTGCTGTAAAAAAAGTCATTGATTAGTAATAGTTTTTTTTACATATCTTCATTCTGTGTCTGTGTCCCTTGATGCTCCTTTAAGTAAAATATGAGTTCGTTGGCAAGACGAAAGATGAAACAACAAAGACGACCCTCTCGTCCCCAGCAGCCCATTTTCCTTGTAGATTTTAAACTAACCCTAACACTGCAGAGGAGGTCCTGGAGATCTGCGCAGCGCTATCCACCGCACCCCAAAAGCCAGCCAGGACTTTATGTGCCACATCCAGGACCAGAGGTGAACGGGACTTGTCATTTTGGAGAGCAAGAAGACTGTCAGCAGAAGAGGTGGGTGGATATCAAGTCCCGGTTCCTGGATCTTATTTTGGAAACTCACACTTACGAAATTAAAATAATAATAAATTCATAAATATTTTTTTCCACATGTCTATGGGACCAGGACTTTCATCAAGAGGTCCATCACATGTGACTACCATGGAATATTCACTATTTCTGCCGAGGCTGGTGGCTTGAGGGGTCCCTGAAGATGGGACAAGATGCATAGATTTACTTTTTCCAAGTCTGGGGACCAAGGACTTCTGCATAAACTCTCAGGTTCACCTGTGTGACAGTCATCCGCAACTCACCATGTTTAGCTGACCAATGAACCTTTCTGCCAAAAACTTAAACACCAAATGTCTGTTAGTGAAGTTCCCAGGCCTGGCAGACCCATTTCTCCTAATAAAAACAACAAGAGACATCAAGCTGGGAGAGGAGATCTACGTGGACCATGGGGTGAGGCAGCACTCGTTTAGGGTTGGAAGGCCAGGGGATGATCTTAGCTGGATGGGTGAGGTTGGCTCACCTCCCAAGAGAAATAGTTTAGTCTTATTTTTACAATGTTCTATTCAATAATCAGTTAACATTTTTATTTTAATTTCTTTGACTGTGGTGTTGTAGTAAAAAGTTCAGTGTTTGAGGTTTTAGTGTTGTAATTGCTCTTTTTTGTGTACTCCAAAGTTCAGTATGACTTTAAATTGCGTTGTTGCAATTAAAGTTTTTGTTTTCTCTTGTGCTGCTGATAATTTTTTCCCCCATTTTTTCCTTCTGGTCCTGGATACAAGACGGTTGACCAACCATGGTACAGAATGTTTTCCTTTTGCATTTGTTTTAAACTTTTGGCTTTGAGTATGTGTACAAAGCAGCTGACCTTCCTTGCAGTGGAGGACACTTTGTTAACCCAAAAAAAACTTCTTTGGGCTTCTTACTGTTCGTGTTATCGTCCACTCGATTAAGCCATTGCCATGTCAGGTGGAATCTGGATCACTGTTACGGCTATTTTCAACTTTAGCATTGCTTCCTGTTGCATAAAGATGGCCCAAATGAAACACACTGAGGTTTGTGGATTAGAGCTGAGAAAATGGAACATATTAAGAGGTCAGATTCCTTCTGCAAGACACTGTAAATGTCATGTTGGGTTCCAGTTTCTTTACCCACATACAGAACACCACCAGGAGAACAGATAAATAAAGTTTATTTCAACAGTGATGAGAATGTGAGAATCCGAGTCTGGTCCTTGGGAGGGGCCACCGGGATCGTCTGTTTTCTGAAGAGTAGTGAAAGGAAAATGGTGAGTTTAAGGTTGTCAGAAAAATTAATCTTTGAAACAATCAGAAAGATCTTACTTGTTTAGAAGTAGACTTTAGCCAAAGAGGGGATACTGTGGGCTCCAGGGTTGGGTCTCTGTGGGCGTTCTTAAAGTCATTCAGGTTCCAGTGAGTTCTTGATAGAATCGGCTCTTTGTTGGAGATGAGGAGGAGCGAGCCGACTGGTGTCAAGGTGTTGGCAGTCAGCTCCTCATACACTCCAGGATGATTAGCTGATAGATCACAGGTGCACTGGCTGAGTCAGCGTGCACGGTCTCCACAGGTGCAGCCTCCAGTCGCCCTCTAGTGGATGAAAAGGGGAAGCAGCAGGCAGACAGAACCCCCCCCCTCCCCCCACAAAGAAACAAAAAACCCTGGTTCCCAATATGCTGGAGTAGTTATTTTATTTAAAAGTTTAATAGGACAGAATCCAAGACTTTAATTTTTATCAAACCAAACTTGAAATTTTTCCAAATCTGTTTCTGCTCAACCTGTAAAAGCAACAAACATCAAAAACAAATGCTCATTATTTCAGAAAAACATGTCAACTCCATATTTGATATTTTATTGGAACATCTTTATTGATAACTTTAACTGGAAAAGGATTAGGACTTTACCAAATATATAACTAATAAAGTAAAAGAAGTGTCTTTTAAAATTATTCACAGAATTTACCCATCCAAAGTTTTTCTACAACGTTTTAACAATAACATGGATATTATTTGCTCTTTTGTGAAGGAAACGCAGAAGATGTTTGATTCATTTTGGCCTTTTCTCTGTTTAATTTTGAAAAAGTATTTTCATTGTGCTTCTATTGAACCGTATGTCTCCATTTGTTTTGAACATGTATTGTTTTGCTTCATTAACTATCCAACAGCTAAAAAAACATTTTTATATTATTAATCTTATTATATACTTAGCCAAATGGCACATGCATAAATGCAGTTACACTAATAAAAAAAAATTCTTTCCATTTTTGGCAATGAGATTAAACAATATATCAAAACTATTGGAAATTCCACCAATACTAAAGCTATTAAAATTTGCACTTTATATTCTCTTTAATATACTGCTCAAAAAAATAAAGGGAACATTTCACTTTAATTTTGTGTGTGGCTCCACATCCAGGCCTCCATTGGTTAATAAATTTGATTTCCATTTATGATTTTTGTGTGATTTTTTTTTCTGCACATTCAACTTTGTACAGAACAAAGTATTCAATGAGAATATTTCATTAATTCAGATCTAGGATATGTTATTTGAGTGTTCCCTTTATTTTTTTGAGCAATGTATATTTATGTAATACTAGGCTGATGTACTGCCTCAATCTTTGTTGCCCCTGGCGGTCATTATGTCACACTCTATGCTGTTTTTATAATATTATGTATTTTGTATCTCAATCAAGATTATAAACAAACAGAAAAAGGCAGATGCATCCTGGAAGGCGTGCCATGTGCATGCTGGAGGAGAGAGAGGGTGGAGGAGTGAGTGAAAGGGTTTTAAGGCACTCCCCCTGCTGGCAGCCCCATGCATAGCATCATAAAACAACATGGAACGATACACTTTGAAAATTATACAAATACATGAAAACAGAAATGAAAAATACTTCTACAAATAGATG